ATGCACGCACACGCGCCCGGCGTGAGTTTTAAGCCACTGGGTCCGGGACGCGGTTGACTACGTGGGAGTCCAGCGACATAGCCATTACGCTAACTGCTGGTCCCTAGTCTGCTTTTAATACTTTCAAGGGAGGTTTTGACTTCCTGTATTATAGCCTTCATCTCTAACAGGTCCTTTGATTGTTTTTTATAGGGTGTATTTCCTCTTTTAGATCTTGCATGAATTTCCTCACTTGGAACTCGTCAGCTCCTTTCTCCTGCCCTTCTACAGTTCATTGTCTCTCTTCTCTTCCATCTCTGTTAGCTTTGTCACTATGAATATTCTAAATTCTTTATCTGAGATTTCCATGAGTTTCATTGTACTGTCTGAGAATGAATAGGAATTATTCTTTTCCCTTGGAGGAGAGGTATTTTATTACTTTCCCATATTTCTTGTGATGCTGCAGTGATTTCTAGGCATCTGATGGTGTGTTTCTTCCTAATTCTTAAAGTTCAATCTTAGTGTTCAGAGGCATGCAGCAGGAGGTGATCTGCAGTCTTTCTTCTGTTCTGTTTTTCTCTCTTTGTGCATCAGATTCAGTGGGAATTGAGGAATATTATGACCCTAATCATATTCAGATGATTGGATCCTGTCCACTTGGACCCGTCTAGACACTTAGTGCGTTGTGGCTGAGCAGCCAAGGAATAAAGATAAAGAAAAAAGGAAGAGAATTAGAGAAGAGGAAAGAAGAAGAATAAAATAAAATAAAAAAGCAGAAAGAAAAAGATAATAAAAAACTTTAAATTTTAATCTTAAAAAGCAAAAAATGGGGACCAGCAGTTGGCGTAATGGCTATGTCACTGGACTCCCATGTAGTTGACGACGGTTCGAGTCCCAGACCTGGTGGCTTAAACTCATGCCGAGCACGTGTGCGTGCGTGTCCAAGATCCCGAGAGGAGAATGGAGGAGAAGGGATTGCGGCCATCTCCTCTGGGGGGTGACTTCTTGCTTTGTGTCTCTCTGTCTCTTTCTGTCGTTCTGGAGAGTGCACGTGCCCTATAGCAAAAACCTCTCCAAAAAAGAAAAAAAAGCAAACAATGAATACTTTACCTTAAAAAAATAGTAATAATAAAAATTTAAAACAATTGAAAGACACAGGGAGACAGAGAGAGACAGAGAGATACAGAGAGATGGAGAGAAGGAGACATATGTAGCCCTACCCACTAGAAATGAATCTGGAGAGAGAAGTCTCAGCAGAAAATCTTAATTTTAGTCAGTGAATGCAGTATTTCATAGTTCAAGTTCAGTATCCATCTCAGGGTGGGCCTGGATTTGTCCATAGTGCCTTGATTACCATGAAAAATAGCTTTTTTTTTTTTTTAAGATTTAGTTCTTATTAGTTTTATAATTATTTTAATTTTATTTATTTATTTGTTTAGTTCTTATTATTTTTATAATTATTTTAATTTTATTTATTTGTTTATTTTAATGTGACCAGAGAGACACACACACACACACACACAAATAGGGAAAGAGACAAAGCAAGCCAGGTCAGGGACAGGAACTTAGGTTGGCCATGTGAGAGTGTCCAGTGCCTTAACCACTACGCCACCTGCTGGTCCCAATTTTTATTATTATATTGAAATTTGCTATAGGGCATGTGAGCTCATCAGAGAGAGACAGAGAGAGAAAAAGTGAGAAAGCAAGCTGCCTTTTCAGTGACTCCAACCCTAATCAGCCATGTGGGAATCTAATTGGCTCAACCACCATGTCCCTTGCTGGCCCTGTAAAGTGTAGCTTCTTATAAATAGGATGAGGCTCCAACTTAAAAAAATTAAAAAACAAAACAAAACAAAAAACCAATAGCAAATTGCCAGAGGGCACAGGAGACAAAGAGAGGAAGAAAGCACCCTTCAGTGGGGTGCAGCCTTGTTCTAATCCCTTTTCCATTTCTTTATTCTGTTGGGATTTGGAGCATGTATACATGTGTCCAGCGTGCTTTTCAAGCCACCAGGACCAAGATTTGAACTCCAGTTGCATATATGGGATCCAGCTCTCTTCACCACTGTGCTATGGTGTGCCCTGAGGCCCTAGCTTTACCACTGAAGGAGATGGAAGAGAATCTGGACTTTTGTCCCATAGCCGTCCTGTTTTTCCTGCTCCTTGACATTGTACCTTTATTTATTTATTTTTAATGTCACCAGAGAGAGAGAGGGAAAGTGAGAAAGCAAGCTGTCAGGTCTGGGACTCAAATCACAGTTGGCCACATGGGAGTCCAGCACTTTAATCACCTTGCCACCTGCTGACCCCAACATTATAGCTTTAAAATAATACTGCCCAGTGAAGTATTGAACTCAAACAAATCATAGTAGCACGGCTGTTCAATTCTGTTATTCCTAGACAGCAATTTCTTTGGAGGTAGGGTTTACTTATGTTGTATTTATACTTAGCACAGTGTTCATTACATGGATGCTTTTTTTTTTTTTTTTTTTTTTAAATGAAAGTGTATATATGTGCATAAGATAGGGGTAGAAAGGGAAAACACCTTTGACAGGGCCTCATGACCTGTTCCCCTTTCTCCAGCCCTCTAGCTCCTCAGTGCGTTATATGTTTTCAGGTCAATCTGGTGATCCAAACTCCGCCAGCCACGTTGTTTGTAGCACTGCAGTTCAGTATGCTGCAGGCTAGGCTGGGCCTACATGGATTTTATCATTCATTTTCTTTTTTACGTTTTTGCCATAGGGCACATGCCACTCACCAGAGTGACAGAAAGTGAGAAATTATACCCCATAGGGGATAGCCACACCGCAGTCCCTTTTCCTCCATACACATCTCAGGATCTTGAGCACACATACATGTCCAGTGTGATTTCAAGCCACCAGGTCTGGGGTTTGAACTGCTGTTGGCCGTGTGGGAATCTAGCTGCCTTAACCACTAGGTCACCGGCTGTTCCCCATGGATTCTTTATTTTTCTTTTTTAGAGAGATTTTTACTATAGAGTGCATGCACTCGCTGGAGAGACAGAAAAAAATCAGAGAGGGGCTAGCAGTTAGCGGAATGGCTGTGTCACTGAATTCCCATGTAGTCGACCGCGGTTCGCGTCCCAGACCCAGTGGCTTAAACTCACGCCGGGTGAGTGTACATGTGTGCCCAAGATTTTGAGAGGAGAATGGAGGAGGAGAGATTGTGGTGTGGCCATCCCCCCAGGGGGTAATTTCTCGCTTTCTCTCTCTCTGTCTTTCTCTGTCTTTCTGGCGAGCCTATGTGCCCTATAGCAAAAAAATTCTCAAAAAAAAAAAATCAGAGAAAATGAGAAATCACCCCTTAGGAGGGATGGCCATGCCACAATTCCTTCTCCATTCTCTTGGGATCTTGGGCATGCATACACATGTGCCCAACGTGAACTTGGTCAAGCTTTTGGGTCTGGGACTTGAACCGTACTTGGTCGTGTGGGAGTCCAGTGCCTTAACCCTCTTGCCACCTGCGGCCTCACCCCCCCATGGATTTTTTTTTTTTTAATAACTGTTTTATTTAACTTTGTTTATTTTAATTTGACCAGAGAGGGACAGAGAGAGAGAGAGAAAGTGAGAAAGCAAGCCACCAGGTCCAGGATTTGAACCGCGGTCAGGCAGGTGGGAGTCCAGTGTCTTTTAACCTCCACGCTACCTGCTGGCCCCTTATTTAACTTTTTAAAAATTTTATTTATTTATTTATTTATTTATTTATTTATTTATTTATTTTGAGAGGTTTTCACTATAGGGCGCGTGCGCTCGCCGGACAGACAGAGAGAGACAGAGAGACAGAAAGCGAGAAATCACCCCCCAGGGGGGATGGTCATGCCGCAATCTCTTCTCCATTCTCCTCTCTGGATCTTGGGCACGCACGCACATGCGCCCAGCGTGAGTTTTAAGCCACTGGGTCTGGGATGCAAACTGCGGCCAACTGGGAGTCCAGCGACATAGCCATTATGCTAACTGCTGGTTCCCCATAGATTCTTAATAGATGTTAAGAGTCCAATTAAACCAGTCTAATTTAGGGGGTGGGTCATCGCATAACCTATAGAATTCATGTCTTTGGGAAGTGTCGGGGACAATGAAATAGGTAAAGTGAGATTTTCAGAGGTGAGAATGAAGTATGGGATAGGAGTGGGGGGAGAACTGGTTTTCTAAATATGTTCTCTGTTATAAAAACAAGCTAATATTTCCAATTTATGGACTAGTCCCCATTTTAAAAACTCCTTCCCACCACGTGGTTGGGTTCTTGGTTTCAAAACCATCATCCCTGTCTGTTGTGCTTTACCAGGGAGTGTTTGCCATCGTGGAAATGGGGGATGTAAGTGCCCGGGAGGCTGTATTGTCACAGTCCCAGCACAGCCTGGATGGACGTCGTCTGCGCGTCAGGCCACGGGAACAGAAGGAGTTCCAGAGCCCAGCTTCCAAATCTCCCAAAGGAGTGGCCCCCGACAGTGACCAGCTGGCCAGAGCACTGGCTGAGGCCCCAGACGTAGGGGCACAAATGGTAAAGCTCGTAGGGCTGAGAGAGTTATCTGAGGCTGAGCGGCAGCTTCGGAGCCTCGTGGTAGCCCTGATGCAGGAGGTCTTCACAGAGTTCTTTCCTGGTAAGTCCCTCCCCTACAGCGTCCCAGCCCTGCCTGTCCTTTGTTGCTGTGTTTCTGCTCCCCCCCTCAGCTAGAAGTGTTTGACTGCTCTTCTTTGTACCTCTTATGTTCTACCCTCTTCCTCTGTAATGTCTGTTCACCTTTATTCTTTTCTTGGCACTCAGGCTGTGTGGTCCATCCTTTTGGCTCTTCCGTAAACAGCTTTGATGTCCATGGCTGTGACCTTGACCTCTTCTTGGATCTGGGTGACTTAGAAGAGCCCCAGGTGAGTGACCAAGGAAGAGTCAGTAGCAGTAGTCACGTGACTGTGACCATTGCTACTGTGACTTTACCTCTCCATGCCTCAGTTTCTTATCTGCAAAATGGGGATAATAGGAACTATATGAAAGGGTTATTATAATTGGAGAATTGTGAATATGGATGGTTATTAGGATGAAAATGCACTGACATGGAATACATAGCAATTGTAACAGAAAAAGGAAAGAAAAAAACAGTTCAAAATGATGTATATAATATGATTTTCTTTTGGAAAATATATAAAAGGATATACAGTATGGTAATTTTGGGGTTATATCTTTATCTGTATTTTCTTTTTTTTTTAATTTTTAAGAATTATTTTATTTAACTTTATTTATTTATTTATTTAAATTTGACCAGAGAGACAGGGAGAGCGAGCGAGCAAGCCACCAGGTCCAGGACTCGAACCATGGTTGTTCATGTGGGAGTCCAGTACCCTTAACCACCACGCCACCTGCTGGTCCCAGTATTTTCTTTTTTTTAAGGTTTTAGCCATAGGGCCTTTGCGCTTGCAGAGAGGAGAGAAAGACAGACAGTGAGAGAGAAAGTGGGAAATCACTCCCTACAGGGAGGGGGTGGGAATGACCACACCATAATCCCTTCTCCATTCTTCTGGGATTTGAGGCATGCATACACATATACTGTGTGTGTTTCAAGCCACTGGGTCCAGGACTTGAACTACGATTGGCCATGTGGGAGTCTAGCACTGTAACCACCACATCACCTGCTGGCCCCAATTTACCTGTATTTTTTGGAATAGAAATGGGTTGTTATTATTTTTAAAAAATTTTTTTAAAGAATTATTTTATTTAACTTTATTTATTTTAATTTGACCAGAGAGGGATAGAGTGAGAGGGAGATAGAGGGTGGGAACATGAGAAAGTAAGCCACCAGGTCTGGGACTCAAACTACAGTCAGCCATGTGGGAATCCAGCACCCTCAACCACCACGCCACCTGCCAGTCTCAAGGGTTATTAGTATTTTTAAGTAGGCTTTTAATTTTTAGTTTTAGGTTCACACAATATTGAGTAGGAAGTAGGGTTTCCCATATATCTACAGTCCCCATAAAAGGTTTTTTTTTCTTTTTTTTAAAGAGAGATTTTTGCTATAGGGCATGTGTGTTCAACAGAGAACAAGAGAGAGACAGAGAGTGAGAAATCACCCCCCCAGAGGGATGGCCACACCGTAGTCCCTTCTCCATTCTCCTCTCCGGATCTTGGGCACACACACACACACACACACACACACACACACACATATGAGTTTTAAGCCCCTTGCTCCGGGACTTGAACTGTGGTTGACTATGTGGGAGTCCTGTGATGTAAGCATTATGCTATCTGCTCAACCTTTTGAGAGATTTTTGCTACAGTGCACTTGTACTCGCCAGAGAGACAGAGACACAGAAAGCAAGAAATCACTCCCCAGGACAAATGGCTATGTGCGATCCCTTCTCCTCCGTTATCCTCTTGGGATTTTGGGCACGCATGCACACATGCCTGGTGTGAATTTCAAGCTTTCAGGTCTGGGACTTGATCCACTGTCAACTATGTGGGAGTTCAGTGATGTAACCATTATGTCATCTGCTGGTCCCAGGGTTTTTTTTGTTTTGTTTTTCTTTTTTAGATTTTTGCCATAGGGTGTGTGCACTCTTAGAAAGAGACAGAGAGACAATGAGAGAGAAAATGAGAAATCACACACATACACAACACCCCCCTTGAGGAGATGGCCGTGCTGCAATCCTTTCCTCTCCATTCTCCTTGGGATTTTGGACACATGCACACACACACATCTGCTGTGATTTTCAAGACGCCAGGTCCTAGACTTGGGAGTGCACTTGGTAACGTAGGAGTCCAGTGCCTTAACCACTATGCCAGTTGCTGGCACTCAACCACCAATTATAAAAGTTGTGTTTTATAATTTGGTATAGGGCACATGTGCTCACCGGAGAGAGGCAGAGAGAGAGAAGGGGAGAAATGAGAAAATACACCCCCCCAGGAGGAATGGCCACCCTGCAGTCCCTTCTTCCCCATTGTCCTCTTGGGATTTGGGGCACACGCACACCTGCACCTGGTGTGTTTTCAAGCCACCAGGTCCAGGACTCAACTGTGGAGTTGGCCATGTGGGTTCTAGTCACGTTACCTCCTGACACAAGAGGGGTTATTTAAAACAAAAACAAAATTTTCTTTTTTCATTCTCTTTTCTTTCTTATACACATGCACACACACGAACACATAATGTCTATTTTATGAATCACTTGAGAGAAGGTTGCAGACATTATGCCTGTCCTTTAATAGTCCAATGTGTGTTACCTAAAAACAAAGGTGTTCTAGTTTATAGCCACAGCATGGCTATCAGACTGAGGAAATGGCACACTGGTACCAGGGTAAAACTTTACAAGATTTTACAATCTGTACTCTGATTTTGTCAGTTGTCCTGACAAGGGACATATATTGTCTCTTTAATCTTCTTTAATGTGGAATAGTTCTACTACCTTTCTTTGCCTTTCATGGTAATGACATTTTTATAGGATATAGACCACTTATTTTATGGAATTAAAAAGTTATTTTAATTTTTTAAAAGGTTGCTTTAAGGGTTAAATAAGTTAATATATGTAAAGCCCTTAGAAGACTGCCTGGTACCTAATAAGCAGTAAGTAATAGACATTATCTTAGGGACAAGGATGTTCCTGTTAGGCAACAGCATGAGAAATGTTCATTCAGATCATTTCTGTCTACAGGCAGCCCACAAAGCTCCAGAGTCACCATCCTTGGACTCAGCTCTTGCTTCTCCACTGGATCCTCAAGCCCTGGCCTGTACCCCAGTGTCTCCTCCAGATTCCCAGCCTCCAGCTTCTCCCCAAGATTCTGAAGCCCTGGATTTTGAAACCCCTTCCTCCTCCCTGGCGCCTCAGACTCCAGACTCTGCTTTGGCCTCTGAGACCCTTGCCTCTCCCCAGTCCCTACCTCCAGCCTCACCACTACAGGAAGACAGAGGAGGGGGAGACCTGGGGAAGGCCCTGGAACTAGCAGAGGCCCTGAAGGGGGAAAAACCAGAGGGGGTAGCAATGCTGGATCTGGTGGGATCCATTCTCCGAGGTTGTGTTCCTGGGGTGTACAGAGTCCAAACTGTGCCCTCTGCCCGGCGCCCTGTGGTCAAATTCTGCCATCGGCCTTCAGGTCTCCATGGTGACGTCTCCCTCAGTAACCGGTACCTTTGTTTGGGGGAGGGTGGTGGAAGGCCAGCTGAGAACTCTGGGGTGGGAAGCTCCTGCACTTGCTGAGTCTCATTTATCCTTGTTTGGTCCCATCCCTCTTTGGGCCCCCATTTTCCTCCTCCTGTCTGGCCTCCACTCATTGTTTGTGAAGTCTGTTTCCTAGAATGCTGTTTTACTTTCTCTCTTTCTCTCTCTCTTTTTTTTTTTTTTGCCAGAGGGCATATGCACTCACCAGAGTGGGGGAGAGGGAAAAAGCATCCCCCAATGAGGCACAGTCATGCCATGTTCCCTTCTCCTCCATCTCTCTATCCTGGTGGGATTTGGGGCACGTGTGCATGTGCTCAGCTTGTTTTTTTTAGCTAGCGGGTCCAGGGCTTAAACTATGCAGTTGGCCAAGTGGGATCCTGCTCTCTTAACTACTAGCCTATGGGGCTGGTCCTGGAATATGATTTTTTTTTGGGAGAGGTTTTTGCTATAGGACGCGTGTGCTCGCCAGAAAGACAGAGAGACAGACACAAAGTGAGAAATCACCCCCCCACCAGGGGAGATGGCCACGTGGCAATCCCTTCTCCATTCTCCTCTCAGGATCTTGGGCATGCACGCACACGCGCCTGGCGTGTGTTTAAGCCACCAGATCCGGGACTTGAACTGTGGTCGACTACATGGGAGTTCAGCGACATAGCTATTATGCTAACTGCTGGCCCCTGGAGTATGATTTTTAAAGGATGTAGAAAAAGTGTTCTATGGGTGGGACCAGCAGAAGGTGTGGTTATGTTGATGGACCTTGTAGTCGACTGTGGTTTGAGTCTCAGACCCCGGCGGCTTAAAACTTATGCTGGGCATGTGCGCATGTGGGCCCAAAATCCCAAGAGGAAAATGGAGGAGAAAGGATTACATTGTGGCCATCCCCCTGGTGGGGATGATTTCTTGATTTCTCTCTCTCTGTCTCTGTCTCTCCAAACGTATGCAGCCTATAGAAAAAATCTCTCAAAAGAGAAAAGATTTCTGTGGGGGCCAGCAGGTGGTGTGGTGGTTAAGGTGCTGGCCTCCCACATGGTTGACTGTAGTTCAAGTCCTGGAGGTAGGAGTTTGAGAATCACTCCAGGCATGTGTGTATGTGTGCCCCAAATCCTGAGAATGGAAAAGGGATTGAGGTGTGGCTATTCCCTGGGTGTGTGGGGGGGTGATTTCTCACTTTCCCTCTCTCTCTCTTTGACAAGTGCATGTACCCTATGGCAAAAAGCTAATAACAAAAATCAGTTTGTGGTTGAATAAATTTGGAGAATGCTAAGTTAAAGTTAAATTATGGACCATTTCTCCCCTTTCCCCCCCTGCTTTCCTTTCCCCTCTCTTTTCCTCTTATTCTTCCTTCTTCCTGTTTCTTTGTATATTAAGACTCTGAGCATTCTTGGGGCCAGCAAGTGGTGTGGTGGTTAAAGTGCTAGACACATGCCTAACTGGTTCAAGTTCCAGATTTGGCTGCTTGAAAATCACGCTGGGTGTATGTGCATGTGTGCCCAAAATCCTGAGAAGAGAATGGAGAAAGGGATGTAGTGTGGCCATTCTCCCTGGGGGGTAATTTATCACTTTCCCTCTCATTGTCTCTGTCTCTCCGAGGAGTGCTTGCACCCTAAGGCTAAAACCTAAAAAAATAAAGTCTGAACAGTCATTAATAATATATACTCTGTGAGTGTCCAAGTTGGGCACATAGGATGTAGAATTTTCCAAACCCATCTAACGGTCTTTTGAACACCTCACTAGACCAGTGCTGTAGCAACACTTTGGGAAACCCTTTGGGCCTTACCCGGCTGGCTCCAGTTATGCAAGTCTTGAGTGAGAACTGGGCATTCTGGGTTCTGAAGGTTCCCTCATCCTAACATTCTTGTCTCCCCTCTGTCCCAGGCTGGCCCTGCATAACTCCCGTTTCCTGAGTCTCTGCTCCGAGCTGGATGAGCGAGTCCGGCCCCTTGTGTACACCATCCGTTGCTGGGCTCAGGGTCGAGGGCTGTCAGGTGAGAAAGAATTAGGACAGAGTTGGAAAGAAGGGAGGTAGGTACAGGAACTGGGAAAACTGCCAGTGAGGGTTTTGGAAGTACCTCTTGTCTAACTGGAATTATTATTTACCCAGGGAGCGGCCCCCATCTCAATAACTATGCCCTGACCTTGCTCGTGATCTACTTCCTTCAGACCAGGGACCCTCCTGTGTTGCCCACTGTGTCCCAGCTCACCCAGAAAGCAGGTACTGCAGCCCCTCCTCCATGCTCTCTCTCTCTCATTTGCTTCATCTTTTCTCTTCATCACACTCAGACACAGTGAGCTGCTCTGGAAATGAGATCTCCGCTGTCATCCCCATGTCTCCTCACTGTAGTCTTCCTGCTTCCACGGTGACCCTTACCTTTTTGGCTTTCACAGGTGAGGGAGAACAGGTAGAAGTTGATGGCTGGGACTGTAGTTTCCCCAAGGATGCCTCAAGACTGGAGCCCAGCACCAATGTGGAGCCCCTCAGTGAGTCTGGGGAATCTGGTTGAGGCTGGTAATGATGTTGGGCATGAGAGTAGGTACATACCACTGCGCCCAGGCATAGTTCTCACAGCAACCCTGTGGAAGAGCAGATGAACAAACCATGCCTTGGAAGCAGCTATGTGGCTTGCCCAGGTTACACTGTCAGCAAGGGGAGACAGGCTCGACCTCTTGTTTAGAAACCTGGCTTCTTGAGAAAGAGATGCTAAGGAGATGGCTGTGGTGCAGGACCTGTCTTAGTTTTGGTTCTAGCCTCTGAATGACTCCCTTTCCCCAATTCTCCTCCTCCTCCAGGTTCCCTGCTAGCCCAGTTCTTCTCCTGCGTCTCTTCCTGGGATCTTCATGGCTCACTGCTATCCCTGAGGGAGGGTCAGGCTCTGCCTGTGGCAGGGGGCCTGCCCTCTCATCTCTGGGAGGGTCTGCGCCTTGGCCCTATGAATCTCCAGGACCCCTTTGACCTAAGTCACAATGTTGCAGCCAATGTGACCAGCCGGGTGGCTGGACGGCTGCAGAACTGCTGCCGAGCAGCAGCCAATTATTGCCGAAGCCTCCAGTACCAGCAGCGTTCCTCTCGGGGCCGAGACTGGGGGCTGCTCCCCCTTCTGCAGCCCAGCTCCCCAAGCTCCCTACTGTCTGCTACTCCCATTCCCTTACCCCCTGCTCCCTTCACCCAACTCACTGCTGCCCTGTTGCAGGTGTTAAGGGAAGCACTGGGGTGCCATATAGAACAGGGAACCAAGAGACTGCGGTCAGAAGGAGGTAGAACTGGGGAGTCTTCCCAGGGAGGGACAAGCAAAAGATTGAAACTAGATGGACAGAAAACCAGCGAGGAGGGAAGAGAGGAGATGCAAGAATGTGCAGGGGACCACAGCAGAGAAGGGGTGGAAGACATGGTTGTAGAGTTAGGGGAGACAGTACAAGACTGGGCCATGAGGAGCCCTGGGCAGCCAGGGGAGCCTCTGCTGATGCCCAGAGAGCATCCAGTCCCTAGTGAAGAGGGGCAGCCAGGCCTTGCAACACTGGCAGAGCAGGGGCCTGAAGGACCTGAGGCAGCCCGAGAAGGGTCTCAGGGTGAGACGGGGAAGGGGACATCACTCTCCTCAGCGAGTTGGCGCTGTGCCTTGTGGCACCGAGTGTGGCAGGGGCGGCGGAGAGCCCGGAGACGCTTGCAGCAGCAAACCAAGGAAGGAGGCGGAGGAGGTGCTGGTGCAGGAGCAGAATGGCTGGCCACTGAGGCTCTGGTGACGCAGGAGCTGAGCGGACTCAGTGGTGCTGTACAGAGGCCAGAAACGGAGCCCCTCCTGACCTTTGTGGCATCTGCCTCCAAGGCTGACCAGACTCTCACTGTGACCCCACTCCGGGATTCCCAAGGCTTGTTCCCTGATCTCCATCATTTTTTACAGGTTTTTCTCCCTCAAGCACTTAGAAATCTCCTCAAGTGAAGACGTGAACACTAAAGGACAATAAAGCTACTAGTTTAATACAAGTGTTCTCCAGTTTTTTTTTTTTTTCATAATTTTCAACTTCCACCCAGTACTTTCCCTCTCCCTTTCTCCCCAGACCTTACGTGTCTCTGCCCTGCTGGGTCTGACCACCCTAACCTGGGTCTCTCCCCTTCCCTTCCTTCCTACCACTTGGCACAGCTTGCTGGGACAGCTTAGGTACCCGCCTGGCTCCGTGCCCCAGTGGGAGGGCAGGTGGGGTGAGAACCACCCTCTTCTCAGGGTATGCTGCTGCCACAGAGTTATGAATGGTGACAGGGCTGGCAGTTCAGGTTCAGGGCTCGTGCATTCTCCCGTTTAATGAAGTTCATCCTGTTCTTAAATTGGGTAGATTTTCAAACCTGAATATGGGTAAAAGGCAATCTTTCAGAGCCGAATTGTCTTCCGTGGTCAGCGTCCGAAGGGGCAGAGTCCAGCCTCCCGACAGGTGGAAGGGACCTGCCATATTCCCTCTGCTCCTTCCCAGCTGCGGGCCAGAGGTCGGGCATCCTTTTTCCCCACAGTAACACCTCACGTTTGCAGGGAGTTTCACACTTAGGCCCCTGTTAAATGTATATTTAAAACACAAATCCCTCTAAAAAAAAAAGCTAACAGCGAGGACAAAAGAAATAGAACAAACTGGCACCGCCGTGCGGCAGCTGATTGTCGCTCCCGTGAGTTCCACACAACCATGGTGTGAGGGGCTTGGCAGAGCTCACCACCAAGTCACTCGTCCCCGGGCGGGCCTGACGCCCCAGCCGCGCGGCGCGGGCAGCTGTGCCACGTAGCCGCCTAGGGGCGGCCGTTCCAGCTGGTTCTCACAGTCACCCCTCCTTCCGCGCTGCCGCCCGGTGGTCTGAGCTCCGATTGGCCGGCTACATCAGAGCGGCAGGACCTGC